AATCACGTCACATCATTCTTTCTATTAACCTGCGTGTAGCAAATAAAACATACTACACGCTCAGCGGTAAAGGTGAGTAAGCATATCTAATGCGTCGAACATCCATATAAATTGAACCCAAATTCATAATCAAATCATTTGATATCATGCACAAAGTATTCAGTTCAAATATACAATAATCAATATTCAACATTCGTCATTCAATATTCATATTCAACATTCAACATCCTCATTCAATAATATCCTTAAACTATTCTTAGTCTAAGGCCAATCTATTTGATGTTTACCAACTCTTAAACGAATTCTAGTTTAAGATATTTAAACTATATTCGAGTTTAAGTTACTCTTTGTTGGAGTTGTGCCCTGATGGCCAACTGTTCATCGTTATCCTATCACGTATAGGCAGATATAATATGTTTACACATCTCATGCTAATGTAAACAAATATTATATTCCTAGATTTATATTTAAAAGATGTTTATCAGATAGTGTTTTTCTGCTGATGAGACTAACATCTTGAAATAAATATATATCTAAATGTCCATAGTCGAGTATTAACGAGAGTGGGATATCGTTAATGCATGTGAGACTAGTGTGTGTTGGATGTTTGACTTAGTCTCATAGTCAATGACGGTGTGTTCGCATCCGCACATGGGCAGATATTATCTAGAGATAATAGGATGCCGGGCTGACCCATCCTAAAGATGTTGCTTGAACTTTTAGTTCATGCTCTAAGCATCTTTAGCGCGACCACGGATGTAACTATCCTTCGACTTGAAGTATTACGTTTTCTGCATATGTGCACCCGCATACTTTGATGCATTGTCCTAAGCCATATGAAATAAGGATGGTATACAGGCTTTGTTTTGGGTATGCCGCAGCGCGTATTCAGAAACGTAGATTACGTACATAGGATTTGTCACTACTCTTTTTAAAGAGATTAATGTCTTATGGGGCCCACTGATAAGTTTTGATTGAGGAAATTGCATGGCCATGCTGAGATGCTTTTATGACGTCTGTTCCTATCAGTCAGACTTGATAAATCAGTGAATGACTTAATGGATACAAGCTGGATTTTTTTAATCCCTTGCATTAAGTTTAGACATTGAGACAAAGGGATACATTTACACGGAGTCTGAGTCGTGGAAAGGTTTTGACGGTGCAAACGTCTTAACTTATAATCTGGGGGCAATAATGTGTTGCTAGATACCGCTTATTGCTTATAGTATTGGTGCAGAGCCAATACTGTGGCCAGTTTTATAAGTGCCTATACGGGTCACACACTTTGGACAATTTAAGAAGTAAGATTAAACAATGGGATAATAAGTAATTTGTATATTTGTAAAAATAGTAAAATAAAATATTTTGGAATATAATATTATATATATAAATATTCGTATATATATAAATATTCGGTTATATATATATATATATATATATATATATATATATATATATATATATATATATATATATATATATATATATATATATATATATATATATATATATATATATATTATATATGTACCGATTAATATATATTATATATTGAATATTTTATTTTTGTTTGTCATTTTAATTATGAAAATAATTATTTTGACATAAACTATTTAAAGTATATTTGTATACTTGTTTAAAAATGATATTGGTATTTTTTTTTATTTAAAATTAATTTTTATATTAATTTTTGGTGTCAAATAAAATACACTTTGAACATTTAAGTGGAGAAGAATTTCACAAATCCTTCTCACAATCTACACTTACGGCCATGATGATTTAAAAGGATCAAAAATAAATCATTGACAAAGTGGAGTTAATTTTAACCTTTTGCTTAATGACAAAGTTTAATAAATCACTTTGTAATCAATTTTTTTTTTATTACACGGCACACATTGATTATAAAGTGGGTATGTGAAGATTTTTTTTAATTGATGGAATGGTGTATTTCGGCCATAATATTTTCTAGTGAGATAAAATTCTTTTGTGTTCCATTAATATCATTTTGTGTATAGAAAATATCTATAATATTTTCTAAATATTATTAGAAATATTTTCAATAGAAATATACAAGATTATTATTATCCCAATTTTAATCTTTATATTTTATACTACTATAATCTTTACTAGCATAAAGATTGTGGTAGACTCCGGCGTTGTTCGTGTGTCAAAGTTGGAGACCGGACGCTTGAACGGTTACGTTTGCACTTTCAACGCTCTTCCTACGACTTCTTCGTTTTTACCGCTTACGGAGAAAGGTACAAATTTCTTACTACTATAAGTTTTAGTACGTGATTCTGG